TGATGAGATTTCCCCCTCTCTACACTTGGATAAGAATCAGCCCACGGAAGCTGATGAAGCTTCTCTATTTGTTGAGACTGGAGAATTAGGAGGTCATAATAATCATGTTTCAAGTACAATGAATGATGATACTGATGACTCTTCTTGGACACTTAAGCAATCGAAGTGGGCTAGAAGGGCGTTACGGCAAGAGACTCTATGGAAGTTGATTAAGTCATCAGAAAGTAAACAATCTCCCTTTCTTTTCCGAGGCAAGTCCTTGGGTAAGAAAGCTTAACCCTTGTTACTTCCAAAAATTTGTATATATGAAGTTATTTTTTTTTGGAATGTTAGAGGAATGAATCATGGTGATCGTCAAAGGGAAATTCGTAGGTGGCTTCAGTCAAGTAACGTTTCTGTTGGAGCTTTTTTGGAAACTCATACTCAGGAAGAGAATATTCAGGCGGTTGTGAGGAATGTTCTAGCGGATTGGAGGTTTGAAAATAATGTTTGTCAGATTGCAGGAGGTAGGATTGTTGTGGTGTGGGATCCTGCAGTCTCGGTTGTGGTTCTCAAGACATCTGAGCAAATGATGCTTTGTAGTGTGTTGGATTCGGATAGTGGAGTTTCTTTGGTTGTTGGTTTTGTTTATGGGTTTAATACAGTTGTTCAGAGAAGGAGACTGTGGCAGGAGTTGATTGACATGAGTAATCATCATTTGGTTATTAATACTCCTTTCATAGCGCTTGGCGATTTCAATCAGATTTTGACAACTTCGGAACACTATTCTATTAATCCCTACCCCCTTCCCGTGCAAGGCATTCGTGAGTTCCAGAATTGTTTTTTAGGTTGTGACTTAGCCGATGTGGAAAGCAGAGGGAGTTTTTTCACATGGTCTAATCTCCGACCAGAGGATCCGATTCTCAGAAAGTTGGACAGATTTTTAGGGAATGGGGCTTGGAGGACTTCTTTTCCTGATGTGGTTGCTGAGTTCCAAGCATATGGAGAGTCTGACCATTCTCCTTGTATATTGGACCTTACCTCTTCACCTAGTCAGAGAAGGGTGAGATTTATGTATTTCTCTTTTTTTGGCTTCCTATCCTCAGTTTTTGGATAGTGTCAAGCAAGCTTGGGACACTGCTATTCCGGTTAGATCTCACCTTTTCTCTTTGCAGAAACGACTGAAGTTTGTTAAGGCGAAATGACATTCTCTGAATAAGGAGGGTTTTGGTAATATTCAACAGAAAGTTAAGGATTCTTGGGCTAGGCTGCAAGAGATTCAGCTGGAGCTTATGACTTCCCCTACTCAGGCGATTTTCAGGGAGGAATTTGTAGCCAGAAGAAAGTGGCAATTCTTTGAGGCTGCTCAAGCAATTTTCTTTAGTAGGAAACCTCGCATCCGCTGGCTAACTGAGGGAGATGCGAACACTCGTTTCTTTCATAAGGTGGTGCTGGCACATCAAGCTCGAAATGTCATACGCTACTTCATGGTTGATGCTGACACTAAAATTGTCAATAAATCTCAGATTAGTGATATGATTGTCGCTTACTTCCGTAATCTGCTTGGCCTTGCATCACTGAATGTGGCGCCTATGGAGGTAAGTGAAATCATAAATTTAATCTCTTAACGTTGTGAAGATAGTATCAAAGCTGCTCTAATCGTGATTCCTTCGGATGAGGATATTACAAATACTCTCTTCTTAATGCCTAAGAGGAAAGCACCGGGTCCGGATGGTTTTCTAGCTGAGTTTTATTGGGAAGCTTGGTCTGTTGTGGGCAGTGGAACCATTGCAGCTATTAAAGAGTTCTTCACGTCGGCTAGACTCCAGCATTCTTTCAATGTGACTGCAATTTCTCTCATCCCCAAAGTCACTGGAGCAGACAGGTTGAATCTATTCAGACCAATTGCTCTTTGTTCCACCGTGTATGAAGTTATGTCAAGAATTCTGAAGAAAGGACTCCAGATGTTTATCGCTGATGTTGTGCAGATAAACCAAGTGGGTTTCATTAAGGATCGCTTGATATGTGAAAATGTGTTGTTAGCTTCTGAATTGGTCTCTGATTTTCACAAGATTGGCCCTACTTCGAGAGGCTGTTTGAAGTTGGACTTAACCAAGGCATATGATAATCTGAATTGGCATTTCCTTTTTAATATTCTTAAAGCTATTGAGCTGCCTTCAGTTCTGATTCAGTGGATCTCTGAATGTGTAACAATGACCTCGTATAATATGGTTATTAATGGAGAGCTTCAGGGTTATTTCAATGGAAAAAATGGTTTAAGGCAAGGGGACCCTATCTCCTCTCTTCTTTTTGTCCTGGCCATGGATGTTCTATCCAAAAGACTCGATAAGGAGGTCATCAATGGGGTATTCAAGTTGCATCCTTCATGTGAGGCTCCTTTAATATCTCATCTCAGCTTTGCGGATGACATTCTGATTTTCTTTAATGGAACTGAAGAGTCTCTTTGTGGCATTCTCCTTATTCTCGAAGAGTTTAAAAAGGCCTCGGGTCTGAGTATTAATAGAGAAAAAACGGAGTTGATAATTGATGGTGGATCTCCTTTACGCTGTCAAGCTCTGGCTAATGCAGTTGGGATCAGTCAAGGAGCTCTCCCTGTTAGGTATCTTGGCGTTCCTCTCTCGTCCAAGAAGATGAAAAAGACTGATTTCCAGCCTCTTCTGGATACTATTGCTGCTCGGTTTAACTCTTGGACTGCTAGACACCTTTCCTTTGCAGGTCAGTTTCAACTGATTCAGTTAGTAATTTACTCCACCATCTCTTTTTGGGCTTCTATTTTTGTTTTACCAAACCAGTGTGTCCGAGATTTGGAGCAGATGTGCAATGCTTTCCTTTGGAAAGGTTCCATTACTTCTGCAAGAGGCGCTAGAATCTCCTGGGATTATGTATGTTCTCCTAAAGAAGCAGGTGGTTTAGGTCTGCGGAGGATTGAGGATTGGAATAAAGTCTTGGATTTGCGTTTAATCTGGCTATTGTTTGCGGCTGGGGGTTCGCTTTGGGTTTCTTGGGTTAAAGTTAACCTTATTGGTGCTTCTAACTTCTGGGAGCTTGATGAGAATTCTGGTGGAAGTTGGATTTGGCGAAGCATATGTAAATTGAGACATATGGTGAGGCCTTTTATCTTTTGTGAAGTTGGATCAGGGATCACAGCTAACTTTTGGACTGATAATTGGATTTCTTTGGGTCCCCTTATTGATCTTACTGGTCCGCTTGGTCCTATGATCTCAGGTCTACCTTTGGAGGCTGTTGTGGCAGACGCAGTGAGAGAGGATGGGTGGTGGATTAGTAACTCGAGAAGTAGAAGTCCTATGATTGCGCTTTTAAAGAATTGTTTACCAGACCATCGACCTATTGTTTCTTCTGAAGTGGACGATCAATATCTTTGGAGTACTGGTATTGGTAATCCAAAAGCTCGGTTCTCATCTGCAGATACTTGGAATGCTCTACATCCCTTAGGAGACCAAGTTTTATGGCATAATCAGGTCTGGTTTGAACACCGTATACCGAAACATGCTTTCATTACTTGGATTGCTGCAAGAGATAGGCTGGTTACCAGGGATAGATTACGAATTTGGGGGCTTGTGGTTCCTTCAGTTTGCTTGCTTTTTAATTCAACCGACGAAAGCCGACGGCACCTGTTTTTTTACTGTATCTACTCTAGGGAGGTTTGTTCTTACTTCTCCTCTCGCCTGCACCTTTCTCCTCCTATCAATTTTGAGGATTGCTTGATTTGGTTGAAGAATCCTGGTCAGGACTTTAACATCAGCTGCATCACTCGGTTGTTGTTTCAAGCTTCGGTGTATTTTGTTTGGAAGGAGAGGAATGCTCGTTTGCATTCTAATATCTCTCGGCCTGCGCATGCTATCATTTTGGACGTCACTCGTTTGATCCAACTTCGACTGGATTCGATATCTAGAGCTCAGAGAGCTCCTCCTGGTTTTTCCATTCTCTCTAGTTGGTTGGAAATCTTTTGATTTAGGAAATTAGGAGAAAGGTTTCACGTGTATATTTTTTTAGTTGGGCTTTTTAGATTTAGTCCCTTTTTTGGGATCCCCTGATTTTGTACTGGGCGTTTTTGGGCCTTATAAATAAATAAAGAGTGAACTTGCCAAAAAAAAAAAAAAAAAATCTTGCATGCGAGGAGAGAAGCTTGATTAATAAAGAATGTAGTATAAATAAAGAGAATACTGAGATCCAAAAAGAGGAAGCAAGAGCAGAAAACACATGATACAAATATATAAGGGAAATTTGCCAATAAAGAACAAAAAAACGTAGTTTTTGTCCCCTTAGAATGAAAAGCTAAATCATTGTCCCTATAGTATAAACATTAGTGAAAATCCAATTTAGTCCTTACTAATTAATTAGAAATATAATTTCAAATTGTTTAAAAGAAAATATTAATGAACATTTTCTCGTTTATTAGGTTAAATCAAATAAAAGGAGAAGAAATAAAAAGAAGAATGCCGCATATCTTCCGACTCTTCTATCTAATCGAATGTTAAGCAGTCTGAGAATGGTAATAGACCAGAGGGTTTCAAGATTGCAATCAATCCTAGATCTAAGAGAGCCTCTGGAAACGGAGGTAACAGGTCAGGAGTACAGCAGAATCTTCTGAGAAGTGTTGAGGAGAGAAAAGAAGAGTATGATAAGGCCCGTGCTCGGATCTTTAACAGTCCTAGTAGTTTTGACTCCGAAGATTCTTCATCGCTACGAGCTCCTCCTCCTCCTCCTCCTATTGAACGTATAAACCGATATGAGACTGAGGCGGCGATTAGTAATAGCTCTGTTGATGCTTGTTCTCGGATTTCTAGAATAGCCATTATCAGAGATAGAGAGAAATATCGATATGATCCGGATTGCGACAGGAGCTATGACAGATATGTCGTGGATCCTGCCTACAGCAGGTAAACCTTCTTGAACTGCTGATATTCAAGAAACATAATATTGCTATGATGTTAATGTCTTTTGTTCTTGTGGTGATGTTTTGTAGGTACTTTAGGGTTATGCCATCTGGCCAAAGCTTCAGTCCGATGCCAATGCACATATTGTTTCATGATGGAGGCTTCCCACAGATGCCAAGAGGTCATCAAGCTAATCTAATCTATGGGCATCCGGCTATGAGCCCCTTCATTAACAACCCGGTTGCTTATACACCGTGGCCAAACTTTGCCCCTATGAACTATGTGCAGTCGTTGAACCGTCCAGACTTCAGGTTGCTCATAACGACTGTTGTTGTTTTTTTCCATTTGATATATCTCTCTCATAAGTCATAACCTGTGCTTACTGTTTATTTTCCCTGCATGTATCCTTCTCCAACTAATCCCTGACAACAATTTAGTGTTGTAAGTACTTCAATGTCTTTATTAAGAAACATAATCTATATAGATATTATTAGCATTAAGGAGCCCTATGTTCTGTTCTGAACACTGGCTGCTTCCTTTTTGTATAACAAGACGACATCTACTCTCTCTTTTGCATTTGTTTTAATTATATTATTGTCAAAATTTGAATTTACCCTAACCAATCTTTGATGATGGCGTCTCCAGTCTCCACATGGTTGAAAAAACAGAGGGTAGGGTTTAGCTTGGAAAGACAAGATCGTGACAGAACATGCCAGATAATGAACCCACAATCACCATTTGAAATCTAGTCGATGTCAATGATCTCCAAATCTTATAGCATCAGGACGCTGCAAAAATACCATCAGCTAGGGACAATATTGCTGATTCTGACTTTTTCTTCAGCAGCAAGAGAGACTATTAAAAGTATAAGTCACGTTAAATATTAATGAATAGACAAAAGGTTTTAGGGTGTAGTGGTTAGCACTCTAGATTTTGAATCCAGCTAAATGGTTTGATTCCATGTAGAATCTTTACTTTTTATATTATCTTGTCCACCTCACATACATATTGGAAGGCCCATTATGTCTACCAAGACAAAAATTATTAAAAAAGAAATAAAAATATTTAGAAAATATTTACTATGCATTATTTTTTAGATTTTGCTAAATTTTTGGATAATTGCTCAAAAACCGTTGGTAGAAGATACATTTTATCAAATTTACCAAATAGTTTAATCAGTAGATACACTAATCCCACGGGTTCAGATAAACATAAAAATTCAGAAGATATGTTTTGCCAAGGTAGACGCGTGAATCTTTCGTATATGTTATGTTCTACAAAAACTTTAGAACGAAGAAAGAAAGGCATGTATCATATTCTTCTTTCGTAGCTATAAATGTTTTTGGTGTATTACGCATTATACGCTCCGCATATCAATTTGTTGTTAGTAGATTGCACGTTCAGAACAATCGTAGATAGTAGATCTGGTTTACTACCCCATTTACTTTATTTTTGAAATTACTATTCCAAAAATTTTCTGAATCTAAAATATTTTTCATATATTCACATGCTTATCTATTTGATATTTTATATTTTTCCTCAAATTTTTGCCTTGTAAATTTATTATTATGAATTTTTATATATAAAAAGGGTAGTAAAAGTCCAAAAGTGACAAAATTTGATTTTATTCTAAGGAGACTATAGTTGTGTTTTTTTGTCCCCTTTTGAAAAATTTCCCAATATATAACAGCTTACATTGGGGAAGAATTGGTAGTTGGAAAACTTCATACAAATATTAACGAGAGAAGTAGTTTAAAAAGGGGAAATAGAGGTAGGTATCATAAGATTTCTATTGACTGGTTATGGACCTTATGGTGGAGTTTGGAAAAAGGAACTTCCGGCAAAGTGAACTGATAAAATATTTTTGATTTTGTCTAACTAAATTTATAAATGGACACAGTAATTAGTAATTAGCCTCTTGGGTTTCTTTTTCATTTTTGTTTTTGTAATTAAAACTGTTCATTTTTAAATTATGCTTGCAAAATTTGATTGGTAAAAAGACTTATGATTTAATATACAAGAAATATCATTTTGTATTAGTGAAAGTATTAAGGTGATGATATATATATATATACAAGAAATATCATCTTTTATTAGTAAAATTATTATGGTGATGATATATGACAAATCAGTTCATAACTATATTCACTTCATAAATAAAATCTAAGGGATCAGAGAATGATTAAACCGCTAGTACAGACGAAACACCTAATTATATATAGTAACTAGTAGTCAGTATGTGCTACGCGTGGAATGTATTTCTTTTATGTTTTATATTAAGAATCCATTTTATCAAATGTAATCGTTAAAATACGAATCTAATTATAAAATTAGTTTATAATTAACGTTGTAGATGGTTTACTTATGGAAAACTTAAATCACTAGATAAAGCGGTTAAAAATGAAGATCATCATTTTTTTTTAATTGTATTTGGTATTTTGTAATTGTGATATATTATTTAATTAAGTCTAACTATTTAGTGACATAGAATTTAAACGGTGTGGCTTAAAAGGTCACAGTCTTGTAGGAATTTTTTATTTGATTTTTGTCAAAGATTGTGATGATCGCAAGAAATTATAGATTGGTTAATCCAGGGGATGATATCTCCTAGGATTTCTTGAAATAGGTCTTTGATGTTAGATAATGACTGACTTACATTTACTTTAACAGATAGATTTTTGAAAAGGTTGTTAGATTGTAGCGGAGGTCGCTAACTTTTTATATACGTGTAAATGACATAAAACGTTTATGTTGAGATGTGTGAATAAATGAAAATATTTATTGAGAATTGTAATTTAGTAGTAACATAGTATGCTAGCTTAAGTGGATTTTAGTTAATGCTTCAAACATTTACTACAAAAAAATTGAGCAAAGTTTACTCAAAAATTTTAAGTTTGAAACTTGAACATATTGTTGACTGTGTTTATTTTTTATTTTCTATTATCGTGATGATTTGGGTTGAAGAAAGTCAAACAAACTATTTTCGTGAATTTCTGATTTATAAGATTCATTTTTTATTTATACATATTACAAATATATTAATATATTTAAAAATATATTAACATAATAAAATTTATTAATTATGCTTTATCTTTAAAAATGTGATGTATTTTCTAGTTTTTGATGTAAGTTTGTGTATTTTTCAATTTCTCCACACATGTAAATCTGAAAAGATTATTAATAACATTTTTTTTAAAGTTAAAATATCAATATTACTAAAAGTAGATATTTAAATGAGGTGATATATATGAAGATGATATGATATTTATTATTGAGTTTATCTATCTTCCGTAATTTAAATATTAAAAATATAAATATATCAGTATAACTAAATTAATGAATTTTGTTTTGAACAAAGACTGATTTGTTCATTTTTTCTTTAATAAAAATTAATTTTTTATTTGATAACAAATTAAATAACAAAAGTGGTTTTTTATCTCAAACTAATTTTTTAATTTCGTCATTTAATAACAGAATTTTGTTATTTAATAAAACTATGTATGAAATAAATATTTATGATTATAAAAAGTGTAACTGATTTGTGCTAAAGACATGATTTATTACATAGAAACAAACAACCGACAATTCAAGGGAAATGATCTCGAGAAAAAGCTCACTTTTGGCAGATAGATACATTGCTGCAGTGAACATGAGAAATCCATAAACCAAATTAAAAACACTTTACCAAGTGCCACGAATCTGTAAGTATGTTCATAGGTTTCCTCTTTATCTTCGACCGAAACCACCGTCTTGATAAAATATTCAGAGTCGAGACTTCCAACGTTGATTCCATTGGAGATAAAATTGGTAAAATATGAACATACGGCGACAAATCGAGTGTTAACTGATGAAGTAAAGAAGAGAACTAAAAAAAGACCGTTAAAGATCAAAGAAGACGATGAAGATGAACCTTAGATATTGAAGTTTTCATCCGTCGTGAAGAAAATGTTGAAAGTGAGAAAGTTATTTTTTGTTTATTTTTATTGGATAAGTAATCTATACTATTAAAGCAGAATCGCTATTAGGATCCTGCCATTAGTTTTAAAATTATTTACAAATCATGTCATTCCTACATTTATTCATAAATTAATTAATTATTTTTATCAGAAATATAAACCATTCGTATTGCAGCATTTAATATCTTATACCATCTATATATATCCTATATATTCTCTCAAAATTTTGTTTACTATTTAATTATACTTCCCAGTTTTCGTTATTAAAAATATATATTTACTTTTAATAAAGTCATAGTAACGTTTTAAAGATATAGTTATATATTCATACCATATTTGATCAAAACCGGGTTGCATGTTTGGTTTTACATTGACTAATATGTTTTTAAAAATTAATTATCTAACTATATTCAAACCTTTCGCATTTATTCTAATAATCATATTTTCTTAAAACATATAAAAATAACTCATAATTATATCAATCAATAAATATATATATATATATAACCAATATATAAATTATTTTATAAATTATAAAGTAATATATATGTAATTATACTAAAAAATTAGAAAATAATACATATTCAGTGATTCAGAAGAATTTATAACTAACTTGGTCTAATTGAGTTAAATCAAGTACCTCAATTTAAACGGGTTATAACTAACGGTATGACTCCTAAATAAGATGAGTTTAAATATAACAAATTTCTTATTTTAACATCCATAACAATATGTTTAGTGTGTTTTAATTAGATTTTTTACAATGGAAAATATCTCGCACTTTTAAATTGCGGATCAAAATCTAGTATTTATTAATGCTCATATCATTTGTAAAAGCCAACAAAAATCCAAATTAAAAAAAAATCGTATAATTTAGCCTTAAAATATTTAACAAATGAGAAGATGACAAATGTCTTTTTTTGCCAATAGGAAGAAAAACTCTATTTTATTTATAAAGATGATATAATACGGGTCAATAAGCTATAATTTTGTAATATTTTCTCGGTTATTATCTTTAAAATGTAACTAAATCTTTTTAAAAAAAATTTACATGGTCATATGACCCTCCCCAGTACAAACTATCTTCGCCACTGGACAGAATTCTTATATATTTGTCCATCGGTAATGCATGTTTATGCTTTTGTTTTCTTTCTTTTCGAACAATGATTGGATTGTTTTATTATTCCCAATGACCATGGATTATCATCCAATGATCAGTCTATATTGGTTCATAATTCTCAATAATCATCCACCAGCAGCTTTTCAAAGTTGTTATTGCATATCTTCGACAATGCATATACTTTTCCTTTGCCAGCTGTTCCAAGTTATCACAACTCTTCACGATTCAAAGAGCTTTTGAATGAGTTTAAAATGTTGCTTATCTGACATAGAAACTATTTAGCAAAAAACAAACAAACTCTTTTCTTATATCATGTTAGACCAAAAAAATGTTGGAACCTAATTGTCTCTTTCTAACGTTCTGCAAAGTTGTTTGACAAGCTAAAATCATAAAATACGTTGTTACCAGATATATTATAAACGTTTCGTTAATGATTTATAATTTGGACAGCAAGCACCGTTGACTTTCATATTAAAGAAGATTTAAAATCCTAGTTTTATATCACAAAGAATCTCAAGGAAAGATATGATCTATGGTATAAAACTATCTCTGCAGATTGCAGTTATTGGACAAGAATGGCTGCAATCACCATTGACTTTCAGCTCTTCTTCATCTTGATACTCCTATGGCTCCTATCACGCTTCTGCCTCTCTGCTTTCTTCTCCTTCAAGAAACCTAAAGACATTAAGCTACCTCCGAGCCCACCATCTCTACCAGTCATCGGTCACCTTCACCTTTTCCGATCTGCTCTATGTCACAAATCCTTGAAGAATCTCTCCTCCAAGTATGGTCCACTCCTTCACCTCCGCGCTTTCAATATCCCAATCGTTGTAGTTTCATCGGGATCCATGGTCAACGAGGTTTTAAGGAACCATGGCCTGAACTTTGCTTCCCGTCAAAGCGGGTCGGTGTTCGAAGAATCTTTATTTTGTGGAGTTAGTGGGTTTACCTCAGCTCCTTACGGAGAGTACTGGAGGTTCATGAAGAAACTGTTAGTCACAAAGCTTCTCGGGGCACACTCCCTTGACCGGACACGACTCATCCGAGAGGAAGAAGTCAAGACTTTCCGCGCTATTTTGTTTGACAAGGCGGTCAAGAAAGAGGCAGTTGAAGTAGAGAAAGAGATGATGAAGCTAACGAATAACAGCATTTGCATGATGATAATGGGGAAGAGATGCTCAGGGGAGAATGGAGAAGCCGAGCGAATTAGAGAGTTGGTGACCAAAACAATTGGTCTGATGAAGAAGATAGTAATAGCTATCACGGTTGGCAAACTTCTCAAGAAGGTCGGGATCTCGCTGTTTGAAAAGGAATTCATGCAAGTCTCGCGGAGTTTCGATGAAATAATCGAGAAAATACTAGTCGAACATGAAGAGAATCCGAAAAAGGACGAGGATAAAGACATGATGGATGTTCTGTTGGAAGTTTGTGCAGACGAAAACGCAGAGTTTAAGATTACCAGGAACCACATCAAATCGCTACTCGTGGTATGTTTTTTCTTCTTTAAGATTTAGTAATAAATAAAGGATAATTTTTTTTTTTCAGAATTTTTTTCCTGAGTCTCTTTCTTGTATATATATATATATATATATTTTTTTTTTTTCTACTTTATTGTAGGAGCTTTTCCTTGGAGGCACTGATACTTCAGCACAAGTAACACAGTGGGCAATGGCGGAGCTCATTAACCACCCTGAGATTCTTAAAAAATTAAGACAAGAGATAGACTCTGTTGTCGGGAAGACGAGGTTTATTCAAGAAACAGATCTCCCAAACCTGCCGTATTTGCAAGCTGTGATCAAAGAAGCACTAAGAGTACACACACCTTCGCCAATCTTGGCGAGGAATTCAATGGAAGGATGCAATATCGGAGGGTTTTACATAGCCAAGAACACAACGGTTATCATTAACACTTATGCAGTTATGAGAGATCCAAATTCATGGGAAGAACCAGACAAGTTCCAACCCGAGAGGTTCATGGTTGCTCCTCAAAATGGGAAAGAAGAGATGAGAGAGCAGCAAGGTTTTAACTACATTCCTTTCGGGAGTGGAAGAAGGGCTTGTCCTGGATCAAACTTGGGTTATATCTTCACTGGATTAGCCATTGGAACAATGGTACAAGGTTTTAACTGGAGTGTTGACGGCGGTAAGGTTAACACGGAAGAGACTGGAGATACGATGCTGAGGATGGCGCATCCACTTATGTGCACTCCTGTTGCTCGAATTGACCCATCTGCAAATCCTTAGTTTGAGTTTGATATTTCATGTCAAATTAGCAGACATATATGTCTGAAGCTTGTTCTCTTTGTAATGTTCACAACAAAACTTTGTTGTCATTGTGTAAGAATCATCTTTTAAATAAGGGACTAAAGTCACAAAATTGTCGTACTAAATTAGATAAGTTGGAGACAACAATAAAGGTTAAAAAGACATCAAAGGACGCATTTTTTTTTTTTTTTGAATATTTGTAAAATTAATTCAAAGAAAACCAACTGTTTTACATCAAAGGACGCATTTCATAACTTCCCTATATATTAAAGGGAGGAACATTATTAAAAACTAACATTAAATATGTAAATTATTTACAGAATTTTCATTATGCTGATGTGCAGTTCAATAGGTTTTCTCACATTTCTAAACTTAAAATCCATCTAGTACTAAATTAATTACAAAAGATGACATTGATATTACATATTGTACATGTTATTAATAGGGAAACTGAAAAAATGGACACTCTCAACTTACATTTGGCACTTTAAATTTTTATCCAATTTTTTTTGTCAAACTCTGACTTTAATTTTTGTAAATATCATTATACCCTTGAATTTAATTAAAAAATATAATAGCTTAACTTGTTTTCTTAATACAATTTTAACATAAAAAGGTAAAATAGATTAAGATTATGATGGAGTGTATTTCGTCAGTTCAATATCGGGTTTTACGCAATGGTCAACCTCAAGGATTCCTTATCCCACATAGAGGCTTAAGACAAGGAGATCATCTATCTCCTTATTTATTCATCTTGTGCACGGATACTTTAATTGTCAATATAAAAAAAGCTGAACGACTAAAATAATTGTCAGGGATGAAGGTTGCCAGAGCTTACCCATCGATTTCTCATATGTATTTTTTTGCAGATGATAGTTTATTTCTTGCAAGGCACAACCAGAAGAATGTCAAACCATTCTCATGATCCTTAAGGAATATGAGTCAGTTTCAGGTCATTTGATAAACTTGCAAAAGTCTTCAATTCAATTTAGACACAAGATTGGGAAGCACATCGTCAAGAGTTACATGACATCTTAGGAATACATAATATAGGAGGAATGAGATCGTATCTGGGTTTACCAGAGAGTGTGAGAGGATTTAATATACAAGTGTTTGGATTTGTACATGAATGATTAAATAATAAGGTCAATGGTTGGATTTTTAAATTCTTCACAAAGGATGGAAAAGAAGTGATTATCAATTTTTTTGTTACGGCTCTGCCAAATCACGTGATGTCATGTTTTCGGCTATCTAAGGAAACTACAAAGAAACTTATGGGTGCAGTAACACAATTTTTGTGGAGTCCAGAGGGAAGTATAAAATGAATGCATTGGAAATCATGGGATAAAATGTGTCTTAGTAAAGACGAAGGAGGAGTGGGTTTTAAAGACATTGAAGACTTTAACACGACAATGCTTGACAAGCAATTAGGACGTCTAATTGAGAAACCAAATACTTTTTTTCTTGTGTTTTTAAAGGTCAGTACTATAGGAATGCTTCACCTTTAGAGCCGATTAGATCATACTCTCCGTTTTATGGGTGGAGGAGCATGATCTCTGCTAGTTCTCTATTTAACAAAGAACTTATCAAAAGGGTGGGATCAGGGTCATCCATCTCTGTATGGAATTATCCATGGATCCAATCAACTCACCCGAGACCAGCAAATATAAACAATCACAATCTTTATCCGGACCTCACTTTGGATTCGCTTATAAATACTACTACGCGAAGTTGGAATATACATGCTATTCGGGCTCTTGTTGATCCCTAAGATGCATCACTTATTGAGAGTATACCACTTAGTAGGAATCAAATGGAAGACATGGATGGATGGCATTTTACGAAAAATGGAAAATACACGGTGAAATAAGGATATCGACTAGAATGGGTTTATCCGGAAAAGATAAAACAACCTCAAATCTTGGGACCCATAGTGGATTTATTAAAAGCATACTTCTGGAAGGTACGGTGTCCTATGAAGATAAAACATTTTCTATGGCAGTTGTTATTAGTTTGTATATCGGTTAAGGAATATCTGAAAGAGTGGGGGATACAAGGTGAAACGTGCTGCGCCAGATGTGGAGAGGAGGAAGAGTCGACTAACCATGTGTTTTTCGAATATCCTCTAGCACGCCAAATCTGGGCATTGTTAAAGACACCTTCCAATCCAGATAGGTTTCCTACTAGATATATCTTCACAAATATGGATCATCTATTTTGGTGCATGAGACCAAAGATGAATGACCATCATTTTGTTTGGATATTGTGGTATATTTGGAAAGCATGCAATAGTAAGAATTTTAGTAATTTGGAGGTTGATTCTAGGGATACATTGTCAATTGCGGAGACAGAGTCATCTCTTTGGGCATAAATCCAGGTGATACATTCCCAAAGGGCAAGACAACTGGGGGAGGAAACAGACATACCTGCAATACCAGGGCGCTGGTGTTTCACAGATGGTCATGGAAAGATATGGAGGTTTTTTCAGGCCAAGGCTGATATAGTACGCTTGAAGGCTTTGATAGTTTGATGGGTGCAAGGAATGTTAGAGCTAGCATTTCACCTCTTCACTCTAAGGTGGAAGCATTAATTTGGGAAATAGAAAGTATGAGAAATTTGCGTCAATATCATGTTAGTTTTGCAACAAAATGTTCTCAATTGGTGAAGATGGTTCCGGAACCAGGAGAATAGCATGCTTTTGCAACTTATCTGGAGGATATCAAGATTCTTAAAGAAAGCTTCCACAGTTGAGAGATCATCCATGTATCAAGAACACATAACTCAAGGGCGGATAGTCTAGCATGCAGTGCAAGGAAACAATCGTCTTTTATCGTTCACATGTATATAGAGCTTCCGGTTTGGTTTACATGGTCAATATGAGTCTGTTTCTATGTTTATGAAAAAAAGAAGGTGAAATAAATAGGGGAAGTAAGAGACATCGGGTAAACTTATTTACCATCTATCATTTTCTCCCCGATCCTCTTCCTCCTCCTCTTCAATGGCGATTTGGTGTTCTTCTTCTTCACACAGTTAAATGTCCGCCGTCTCTGTTCTCACTTCTTCTTTACTTCTTCTTCTCTGATTTTTCTTCTATGTTCTTTGTGTCTTCATCCTTTTTTTTTTGGTCTTCGTCGTCTTCTCTCGGCGGTTCAGTTCTATACTCCGTTATCAGTTTCATCAGAATCCTACAATTCCTCACCATGGTATGTGTTGATTTGATTTTGAAAACCTAAAATTTAATTGTTCCGTTTCTTTTACACCATTAGCGGGAGAAGACATGGCTAGAAATTTAAGCTGATGATCTCAAATTGGTTTGTTGTGGTGATAAGAAACAAACTGGAGAAATAACTCTGGCGTGTGAGGAAGAGACATATTGTTTCAATTGCTCCTCGGGATGCCATGAGAAGGCCTGTCTGGACATTGATGAAGCTGGTGTAAGTTGTGATCTCAAGTTGTCTTGTTGTCGAAACACAGAAGTAGAAGTGAAAGAGAAGGGCTTGCAGATATAGAAAAGACAATGCAAGTCTGTTTTCGGTTTGAAGGAAGAAGGGTCTTCTAGCTTGGTGAATGTGTTGGGCAAAGAGCAAGAGATAGTGAAAGTTCTTAGCCAAAGCAGCCGCTGCTGCACAAGTCCTATTGATCTGATGTTATCTGAGTTGGAAGTGAAGAAGAAGAAGAAGATGATGAAGAAGAAGATAAAGATTTGTTGCAAAGTGAAGACTCCAGAGGTTGTGGCTTGTGGATCTAATAAGTGTAAGGAAAGATATCAGAAGAATCACATTGGTAAAAGCTGTTGCAGGAGTTATGCCAAGGAATATTGCAGCCACATGGATCACCACCATCATCGCCATGCTGAGTTCTTTAATGACTGAAAGGCCTTTGAATCTCATACATATGCATCCCTTGTTTCTTCCACTAGTGCCTTCCAGAAAATGAAAATATTGTTTTATTGTTTGCAGTAAAGGCTAGACTTAACAGTTGTGTGGTTCATTATGAACAATGTTAGTGATCCTTTATGTTTGCCTCAAGTATTTCTTGTTTTTCTGTTTTTTTTTTACTACGTTTCTTTGAAATCGTTGAAAAAAACAAGTTGGAATTTTTATCTTAGTGTCTTAAAATCAAAGACAAGAAGCAGATGAAACTGTATCAAAGTATGTGTTACCAATCATTAGTGGTAAATATATTCTTTTGGTTGCTTAGCTGTGAAAGGAGAGAGTAATTCATGTCATAAGAATATGATTCTTCATTGATGGATGAGTTATAAAATACAGATAATAAGAAAAATATAATGTTCTGTAATAAACGCTGATGGTGGAGGTAGTCCATTTCCATAAAACAATTCCTGGCTGTAACGTCAGTTAGTGATCATTCAAAACTGCGTAATCCTCAAACTTTATATGCAATATTGACTTTTTTTCTTTATTTTACACCATTAGCAGCGAATTTATCATTGTTGATACTAATGACAGGATTCACTCTTTGATTCACCACATCATAACTGCATTAAAGATACTGTGGTCCACCCCATGATCTTCTCACACCATGATCTTGAACTGCTCCAACAGAGTAGTAGTTTCTAATATTACCATTTAACTACACCTTTCTTTGTCTACAATGAAACTCCACTCTTCTCTGCAACTTGACATTTGTACATCAGATTTAACATAGATTAGAACCATTTTCTATTGATAAAGAGAAAAGATGGTTATGTCTATGAAGAAGAGAGAGACAAATAAAGGAGAGAAAGATCGTGGAATGAGAAAATCATGGGAGAGAAGATAATATGAGAGAATTAGAATAGATTTAGGAAAGATATTAACCAAAATATGGAAGAGTTCACATTTTGTGATGTGACTATAATATGTATTATTTGTTGTGCAAAGTAAAGAGGGTGGGAGGTTTATTATTCCATAGGCGTAACATAAGGTAAAAGGCAGAAGAGGTTATGCCACATAAACAAGAAAAGATAATTCATAGAATTGTGGCTATAAGTTGTAAAAAAGCTATAGGTAGACTAAAGATATATTGCTAGAATATAAACTAACAATTCTAACTAAGATAGAATAAACAAGAAAGTTTCGTTTACGTTATATACCCTTGATAGATTTATGTATAATACTTAGTAGCCAATTTATAGAATAAGTAGATGGTTAGAATGAGTATTTTATCTCCAGTTAGGACATAAAATAAAATATTATTTCACTATTTTCATTTATATATTTTAATATATAAATAGTCATACTTATATTTCCAATGGTTTTCATATTTTTTTTTTATCTTTTTAAAATTTAGTAAAACCTGTTTACAATGGCCAAAAATATCGAAAGTGCTATTGGGGTAATAAAAATTGAAAGTGTCTCTTTTTCCAATATCCCTAATAATGTAAGTGTTGGGGTCAAAATCGGTTACGAAGGAATCAACGACCAAAACTTTCTGCAAAGTTAAGAATAGGCTTAAAAATACGGAAAACGTCGAGAATAAATCTAAGGATTTTCCGAACAAAAGAATTCCGCAAAATTAACAATCATCATCCTGGAAATCATCAAAAAATCGAATAAAAGAATCCACGATTGTCCGATTGGTCGAATCAGCAAAAAATGGCCGCAATGTCCAAACTCCCCAAAACGGCAAAGCTGTCCGGGACCATCCGATGAGGTCAAAAGCGGTAATCTCGAAATCAACTTCTACGATTACTTCTCCTTATATTCTCTGAGAGGATATAGGGTTGAGAAAATGAGAAACAATCAAAATCGAACAACCGACCAGCTCGCCAGCCGGCGAGCTGAACTGTCCTGTCCAGCTTGCCAGCCGGCGAGCTAATCGTCCTGAACCAGTTTGTTGACTTGTCGAGCTCAACCAAACCGGCAAGGTCCCTCGACTCAATCATACTCTAAACCATGATTGGAACATCTCTCATTTCGTCTCAATCCATCTTATCATTGAAATTTTAGGATAAAAACCATAAAAGACTTGTTCTCTCGTAAAAACTCAAGTAAATCGTATAAAACGGCAAACGGTTAAACGAAACAGTAGAGATTGTCAAACTATACGATTAAATCGAGATTTTTTATTAAAACGCCTTAGTGTCGCGGAACGATCTCGTCTAAAGTCGTAAAATGGCAAAGACACAAAACGGCCCGAAAGGTCCTACAACGCGATAAAGACCCATACTCGACTTTAGAGGAAATCCAGCCCAAATGTACGATGACGGTTTATCCACTTATGTGCAGGAAGAAGATATATGTCAAGTTCGGAGAAAAATAGAAGTTTTCCCGGATAAAAATGGAGAATTAGGAGAAATGGAAGATTTTCGAAAGACAAGAATCAAGGCGGAAAAGGAAAGGCTAAACCTCCTAGGAGAGGAGTATATAAACACAAGGTCGAGGACAAAATCAAGGGCTGAATTTTCAGAGCTCTCATCACACAGAAAAACTTAGCATTTAGGCAACTTTCCGTTTTTGTTATCGAGCTGCGTCTCAACTAAGGTTTTAGTCTTAGGTTACTAGAACTAGGAAACTCGCAGTCAGCTCTTGTAGCCAAGGTTTTTACCTCGTTGTACCGCTCTTACACATATTCGGAATAAGAAACCTCTTTGCTTTTTATCTCGATTTTTATCGTTTTTGCTGTTATTCTCGTTTTCTGATTGCTTGGCGTGTGGTTTAGCAGATATCCTGGACCTTTGGGAAATTAAAGTTTTCCCTACTTTCCTTAATTTACGTAAATCGACGATGTGAATTTTGGTTTCCACAGTTTGGCGCTAGAAGGAGGGGGGGGGGGTTACGGATCTATCTAACTCTCAGACCGCATCACGCTCGATCGGATACGATGACAGAAGAACAACCAACTGACATCAACGGAAACATTGAAAGTCAAACTCCAAATTCAACCACAGTTAATGCTGCAGCTAACACTACGTCGCTGCAGGAGGTACTTTCCGCCTATCAAAAGAGGACGGACGAGCAGGATGAGTTAATCGGATCTCTCGGAAAACAGGCCGAAACCCTAACCGCGTAGACCAAGGCTATCCGCCCCCACGGAACCACAAGAATCCACGGAAGAAGACTCGATTTCGCGACGCCTATGGACCGTCCCAGAGCCGATCAGGATAATCTACCGGGGCAAACCTCCGAGAAAGATAACCTTGACACGACATAAAAAGACTTGGAAAAATCTCCTTCTCTCGAACAGGAGGCCGAGGCAACGGTGTCGAAAGGGTTAATCTGGAAACAAGCAACCAATCCGATCCGTCGGAGGAAGATGCTGACATTCATCCAAGAAGGAGGAAAGATCGCAGTCCTCAGCGCAAATCTTCTCCTGATCACTCTCCCACTGAGGACGAGGAGGAGCTCTGATGCATGGAGCATGCAAAATTGGCCGAGGAACGATCTCAAGTTACTCGCAGCAAACGCCGACGAGGTCGGAAAACTGCTGGCTACCCAACTGAGATTCGCGATCTCCGCGATTATATCACAAAAACGGCTGCAGCGGTAAAAGCAGTGAAGTCTCAAATTCACCATGCCACTAGCGCCGCGTCTGAAATAGATCGCTTGCTGTACAAATCTTGGCAAATGATTTTTACGGCTTGTATCACCGAGATCAAGCTGCCTGATCCTGGAAAGCTTAAAGTGCCGACTTATGATGGGACGACTGATCCAAAAGCGCACCTGCAAGCCTTCTAGATCACTATGGGGTGAGAAAATCTCAAGGAGAGTGAAAAGAACGCAGGCTACTGCCGTCACTTCGTCGAAAACTTAGAAGGGGCAGCGCTCGAATTGTTCTCTCGACTTAAGAGGAATTCGATTGGGATTTTCCGCCAGCTTGCCTCGGAGTTTCTGAAGCAGTACTCAATGTTCATAAACCAAGAGACTTCTGATGCCGGCCTCTCGACCCTATCCCAGATGGAAGACGAACCTCTCCCCGACTTCATGAGTAAGTTTAAACTCATCATGGCTAGGGTTAGCGGAATAAGCGACAGAGCAGCCATCGACGCGCTAAGAAAGTTGCTCTGGTTTAAATCGAAGTTCAGAAAGTGGATAACTCTCAAAAAGCCACGTACGATCCAGGATGCACTCACAAAGGTACTGATTTCATCATCATCGAAGAGGAGACTAAAGTCCTGGCGGAGCAGCACAAACCGACGAAGAAGTCTGCAAAAGACGCCGCGTCCAAGCAAAAGCCGAAAAAGAAAAACCATCGTAATGACAAGTACGTCCATCACGAGGGACATCACTACAAGAAAACTAAGAATTTACTAGGAAATTTTACTAGGAAAATAATTCCTCGTAAATTTACTATGAACTTACTTCGGTTTTACAAGGAAACCTAGTTTCCTCGTAAGGTCCTCGTACAGGTACGAGAAACAGATTTCCTCGTATGACCGTAGTACCTTTACGAGGAAACTACGTGGCAAAAGTCCATTTCCTTGTAAACTCGTAGTAATAACTTTCCTCGTAAAGTCCTAGTAAAACCTTACTACGAAATTAGGAGGAATTGATTTGTTACTACGAAATTAGGAGAACTGGATAGAAAATATCGAATTTAAATCAAAAACGTGTTTTGTACCTACCTTTCCTAGAAATTTCCTAGTAAATGCTCAGATTCAAAAGTTTCTATAAATACCACCATTTGTGATTCATATGAAACACACCAAAAAAAATCAGCTATAAGCTTGATCAGACACAAAAAAAAATGTCTGGTCCGGGAAATATTTTCGAGTTGCGGAAGTGGATGTATTCACACAGAGATAATAACGAAAGGGTGACAAAAGAATTTCTTGAAGGGTTGGAGACGTTTATGCATCAAGAAGATTCTACACCACTCACGCAGAAAAGTGGTAAGATGTTCTGTCCTTGTCGGAAATGCTTCAATACAA